GAGCGCCTTAACCCGCTCGGCCACGAGTTCGGTTTATGAGTTTGCTCGAAATTAATGAAATATACCTATCATGCATGAGTCGAATGGAAAATGTAATCATGAAATTTTTTTAAAAATGCAATGTTAGATAGATACTTACTTTTAAAAATAAAAACCGTTCATCGGGTGCTTCGTCGATAAACGTTTTTATTTGTTCAGGTGAAAATATTTTTGCTTTTTTTCCAACATATCCTTCGGACTTTCGCTTTAATAAAGCTTGTAGTTTCTTATATTTAGAAATGTTTATATTATGGTTTATATTTACCAACGTTTTTATTATTGAATAATGTGTCCATGTACTAGATGATTTCATAGTTTCCATCAATTCTTGAAAATAAGCAATTAAAACATTTTCGGAGAATGTCGAAATATTATTTGTATTTCTCCAGTCCATAAACCGTTGATAAAGTTTTTCGTACACTTTCTTAGATTTTTGGGGTAAAATATTTTGAACTGCATTTTCTGCTTTCTCCGATATGTGTGGAGGAGTCGATGGTAATTCTTCTATATCGCTGATATCAGACATTTTGATAAATTATCGAAGTTTAGCTAGGTATCTACGAAAATTTAATACGTACTGATTTTGACATCTAAAATAATTACATAGGAACCTAGGATAAACGTCAAATGCACAGCATGCTTGATTGAAAAATTATGGGTTTCTATTGATTAAAAATCTGTATCGTAATGAAAAATCTGTATCGTAATGGGTATCATTATGAAACGGATTATGGGCATATAAGTGCATTGTTATAATACGGGTGTAGAAAAAATATCATACAATACACGACCGTTAGGTGTTATTACAGTACTCGTTTTTATTCCGGACTCGGCTCCTACGTCGCCTCGTCCGTAAAACAACTCGTAATGTAAAAAGTCACCTACCGGACTTGTAACGTAATAGTATTTTGTGACTTGTCTAATATGTTGCTAGGCAACATTTACCGGCTCTGATACTGTAATAGCTCACTTACCGGCCGCAAATGAATTTACTGGCTCTGATACTGTAATAGCTCACTTACCTTACCCCAACGACACCCCCCCCCTGCCCGCTAACCTTTTCTGTTTCAGAGACAGCCAGGATCAAGAAACGAAGACAACGACAGACACACACATACACACCCCCCCTACCCTCCTTATCCCTCCCCTCCCGCGCTAGTCTAAGGGCCACCTTAGCAAAGCGCATCCCAGGCTGCATAGCCGCACTACCCTACCCAACCATACCACACATAAACATGACACTACCCCCGGGGTTTACACAGACGAGCCGGCGAAGCAAGAAGAGCGCCAGAAGAAAGGGCCCTAGCCGGCGGGGCCCAGCCAGGACAAAAGGAGGTCCCACAAAGCGCCTACACCGGCCGCATTTGCGGTCGGGGTAGACGACGGATGGGGCCCACCTACGAAGGCTGTCCAGGCCTACACGAGATGAGGCAGGATAAAGAGGGATAATCCCCCTCGATCCCAAATCATTGAGGCCAATTTCTAGCCATTTCGCCCTTCCACAAATAAGATCCACTCCTTATTTGTGGAAGGGCGAAATGGGCGTTGACTATTGGACGCCTTCATTATAGCCATCCTTGTCTATCACGTGGATTTCTATGGCTTACTTTATCGCTCTCACGTAACTTCTGATAGACCATCGGTACTTTCCTACACTGTATACTATTCAGTACTTTTGTGCACAGGGTCAGCACTACAACTTAAAAAATGGCGGAGTTCTCTACACATTGTCTCTTTATAGCATTCAAATTGCTTCGTTAGTTTAGGTTTCATAAGTAAAAAACTCAAAAAATGCGTTTTTTGCATAAAAATGTTTATAAAAAATTAATTAATGGTAAATTGGAGTAGAAAACATATAAGCATATATTTACAGACTGTCTTTTATATGAAGGCACAGTCCGTTTGCTACTAGTATTTTTGTCACAAACAAAACCTCTATTGTTTATCCTATATTAGGCTAAATAACAGCCTGGCATTTTGTACTTTTAAGTTAAATTTTTCATAAATAAAACATTACTAAAGTTACAATAACTTAAACCTCTATCATATATTATTGCAAGAAATATGTATATTATAAGAGCGCTAGGTATACAGTGATGGATCAAGCTATTTTCGATGTCTTAACTATATACATAGAGTGAATACAGGTGAGATTTAAGAATGCCATATATACAGGGTAGCCCATCGAAAACGTACCGAAAAACAGGACAAATTTGTTTCTGAGGGGGACAACTTTTGGCTCAAAAAGCATACCAAAATCTTCAACCCCCTAAGTGGGGGTGCTATCCCCTAAATTTTTTCAAATGGGAATGGGGGTCAAGTGGGGGGTCATTAGAAAGGGCTTTTAATTCTCTATACATCGATTCTTACTTTTTGAAAATCGATTCATTATTTTAGAAAATATGCAGCTTTGAAAATACGAACAATATTTTTGACGAGAAATGCGAAAATCGATTTAATTTTACTTCAAAACTTACGGTATTAGTCAAGTAAATGCTGAAAATGTTGTCCGCCAACTTGCATACAATGATACAGGTTGTCTTCAAACCGTTGTCGAACATTCTGGAGCACTTGCGGTGTTACTTCGCGACATACATTAATGATTCGTCCTCGCAGATCTTCCAAGGTATCAGGTGGAGTGCTGTAAACTTTGCTTTTAATGTGCCCCCAGAGAAAGAAATCTAAAGGATTTAAGTCGGGTGACCGAGGGGGCCACTCAATTGCACCTCTTCGTCCTATCCAGCGTCCTGGAAACGTCTCATTTAGGTAATTGCGCACATTGAGCGAGTAATGTGGAGGAGCTCCGTCTTGCTGGAAAATCAGTTCGTGTTCATTGTAAGCAGGGTCGTCCTCTATGATATTTGTTAGAGCTGGGTCGATGACATTTTGTAGTAAATCCAAGTACATATCGCCTGTCAAATTTCCAGGAAGGAAAAAAGGACCTACAATGGAATTTCCAAAAATACCTGCCCATACATTCAACTTCTGGGGGTGTTGGGAGTGTGTCTCATGGAAAATCCTTGGATTGGTATCAGCCCAGTAACGACAATTATGGCGATTCACTAAACCATTCAAGAAGAACGTACACTCGTCCGAAAAACACACATTAAAGAGGAAATTATCGTTTATCGCTCGTTCAGTCATTATTTCGCAAAATTGCAAACGACGATCAAAATCGTCTTCATTTAGCTCTTGCACTAGCCGAATCTTATAAGGATGGAATTTGTATTTTTTTAATATTCGTTGGACACTTGTACGACTCACTCCTGTCGCAGTAGCCAATTGCATTGTACTCAGCGTACTATCCATTGCCACTTGCCCCAATACCGCTATTTCCGTAGGTTCATTTAGTACCGGATTTTCAACCTGCCTCTTTTTGTTATGAACGGAGCCAGTTTCGCGAAATTTGGCCACCAATTCGCGAACAATTTTTCCAGACGCATGTTTCTCAGGATGCCGTTGGTTGAACAGTTCGGCGACCCGATTTCCGCATTCATTGTTTTTGAAAAAAAGCTCAATAATTTCTACTCTTTCTGGAATTGAGTACACCATAATTAATCAATTTAAAAGACTCGGCAGTATTGGTACTCTTCAACTACAAGTCACAAGACAGTTATCTAGCAACTTCTTGTGGCCTATCTAAATACGAAACAAAAAGCGGACAATTTTTTGCTCACCAAAATCAGGCTAAAGAATTCGCAAATCAAAAAAAAAAACAGCGAATTCTTTTGAAGGAATTTACCAAGCTAATACCGTAAGTTTTGAAGTAAAATTAAATCGATTTTCGCATTTCTCGTCAAAAATATTGTTCGTATTTTCAAAGCTGCATATTTTCTAAAATAATGGATCGATTTTCAAAAAGTAAGAATCGATGTATAGAGAATTAAAAGCCCTTTCTAATGACCCCCCACTTGACCCCCATTCCCATTTAAAAAAATTTGGGGGATGGCACCCCCACTTAGGGGGTTGAAGATTTTGCTATGCTTTTTGCGCCAAAAGTTGTCTTCCTCAGAAGCAAACTTTACCTGTTTTTGGATTTTGCCGAAAAGTTCATTACTACCCTTTAATGCCTTGCGGTACGTTTTCGATGGGCTACCCTGTATATGAGTGACTATTGCTACTTAATTAATATTAGAATGCTGATTATAAAATAGTTAAATATTTCACTGTTAATTCAACAGTTGAAGAAAGTATGACAATAAAATTGAACACATGTTTTTTCCTGCACTTGTTCATGTAGCTACTTTCAATGTTCTATACATAATAGTAGTAAAAATTTACAGAGTAAAGTAGGTGAAATTTTGGAATTCTCTCTTTAAGAGTTTGTTGATCTTCAGTAATATATAGTACCTATATCTAAGTTTTATTAATAAATTAAACTTCCCAGAACACCCCGTACTTCCGCAAATAGGCTTTTCCAGAACTTTTTTGAGCAGTCATTCTATACTTCTTAGGTTGTCCTATCCTGCCATTACAGTACAAATAGTTCGTTATGTCATGAAACACCTAAGGCTTAACTACTTTTATTTGGGTGCATGTAATATGCAATATAGAAATGAGGTGATAGAAATTATGTATTTGACTGCAAATGTTCCGCTTTTCCCTAAGCACAGGGCCTTCTAGTGGAATAAAAGAATTTAGAAAGTTTTAAACTCATAATACCTTGTATGTTAATAAATTAAAATATAAAATAATTGGATATGTTCACAAGATTGATATATGTTTTTCTTATTTTTGCCATTGGCTACAGTACTAATTTACTTTGGTGGGCTAGCGCACTAATGTGTTGTAATTAACCATTAAAATTTCACTTATATTCTATAAAAATCTTGGTACCTAATTATTTTGCTATGAAAAATATTTATTGTATTATTTTAGTAAATGAAACCAAGGTTTAACTCTTAGTAGTTTTATTTATAATTTAGCTGAAGCAGAAATCAGTACAGATAAATGAAGGCAAACTTGTAAAAGATTTTTCAAAAATAGTTCATTATTATTTTGTACAAAACTGGTCATTTATAATATTCTCAGACTAGAGGTGAAAATAACAATAAAAATAATTAAATTAACATTTTTATTATAAAATTTAATTTCTCAATTTACAATTTTTAATGAAGTAAAATATAATAACATTATAGGTACTTTAATGACTATTTAAGTAATCACATGCGTATATTTATACATTTTGACCTGACTGTTTGTATTGCCCTATTGTTTAAAAGAAACATTACGTTTTTCCTTTTAAGCAAAAGGTTCAGATCCACAGTTAAAATTTTAATGTTTCAATAATGTTGTTAGTATTTGATTATATTTTTTGTGTGGTGGTACAATTTCTTCATCTACAGTCTACGAAAAATTAAAGATATTTTCCCATATCTAGCAGTAAATTCAGAAAGGAGTTCTAAATATGAAGACTTTCTACTTCTAACGGTTTACATTTCATAGTTATGTTATCAAGTAAACTTTCAGATTTTAATAGTCATACCTCAAGGCAAAAATTTAATAATATGACAAACAGGTACATTATGTGGAAGTATAAATTTTCAAATTATACAAAAATGTTAGGATCATCACAAAACTATGATTTTTAATGAAATAGATATTGGTAATAAAATTTAATTACGGAGTATTTATTAAAAAAAGTAGGATAGGACTCTCTTATTTTTAGTAGTAATCACTTGTACATTTGACTTGATATTGGAAATGTATACACTGTGCCTGTAAAGTAACACATAACTTCAATATGCAATATTTGTTTTCGGGAAAACACTTGGATGCATCTACTTTAAAAAATTTTAAAGGAAAATTAACCTAGTGTACATTTTCCTTCAGAACTATTTTAACTGTTCGATCCTGTTTAAAAATTAGGACATTTTTCTGAGTCATTCAGTATTTTAATAAATATTATCTTACCGTTGCCATGTAAATGCATAAAATATGTAATTATTAAAAAAACTTATTTTGAAACTGAAAAAAATTCTAAAAACGTCAATGACTTCTATGCAGGGTTTCAAATAAGAACTTGTCTAAGTCTTATACCCACAAAAAAATTGCCTGAACCTTATTTTGATAAGGTTTATGCGTAATTTTAGGGACACAGTATATATTACATTGGTAAAATATCTAATAAAGGAAAATAATAATAATAATGTAATGACCTACTGAAATGGGGAAAAAATGTAAAAATGAATTTAAAAATTTTAATATGCAATTAAGTTCAATAGAAATAGCTATTCTTTTTTCTTAGTATTTTTAAACACTTTAATATATTTTAATTTAAAAATTATAATGCAAAATATAATGTGCGTGATGCAGATAACGAATTTAAAAAAATATATGTAAGATAAATAAACTTTATCAATTTTCGATATGGGATTTATGTAAAGGAAATAAGTTAACTAAAGAGAGAAATCTTAACTTTCATTACATCTTACTTCGACTTTCATGAGCTTTTTTTACAATAGCCAGTTTAGAATGTGGATCTAACACTGGAAGTTCTGTATAAGGGGGGTCCCGTGTTCCATGCAGCATTAAAGTCCACTCTTTCACAAATCCAGTTTGTGGAATTTGCGAGTTGAACTTCGCCTGAAAATGTATTAAGATATAATACGTATACTTTCAAACAATATAAAATTATAAGCGCCCGCCAAAATTTCGACTCACAAAAAAGTAACAACACTAATAATTTTTTTTAATCCATAGGGTTTTAAGATACCTAACTTAAATTTTTAAAATAATAAATTTTCGTTACCTGCCACTGGAGCATTATTCCAAATGCCTAGTTGAATTAATAATAATCAAAAAGAAGTATAAAAAATGTCAACTATATAAATTAGTTCTAGTATTTAGGATGGCAAAAACTATTAAAATAATGACGAATCATTTCATCAAACATTCATATTTTGGGTATTTCTTTAATTTACAGGCAGCCAGATAATGTCATTTTAATGGGGACAAAATACTGCACAAAAATGTGTTTTCGAAAAAAATCATTAAGGAAATGTTGCTTTGATGAATTAAGCACATGGTTAAAATTTTGGCACTTATTTCTGGGATATCCCGTATACATTGAAAATGTATCTAAATCTGGGATAGATTTGATTATGATCTTTTTGCGACAGCCAATATTGCAAAGAATGCAAAATTGTACTTACATACATGAAGACCAACATTTATAATATTTTGAAGTTGTCAGAATATAGACATTTTAGTTTTGTAAGTATTAAAAAATAATATAAAACATTAACTTCTGTATGATTTTTGATGTAATGAAAAATAATTATTAATTTCTGTAAAACTGATGGTCAAAATTACTTGAAAAATGTTGAAACCTGTAATTATTGTTTAATACGATGAACGGATGAACAACAGGTAAGACACCTTAAAAATTGATCCATGAAAACAATTTGGCTTATTTGGTTTGCCAGGGACGGATTAGCTCTAGCACAATAATGTCACTTTTTTTACACCCTTTACGATAAAGACACAAAAATAATATTTGTAGATAGCTTGAACGTTAAACTAAAAAAATGCACCAAAAGATCGATATCGTTAAAATCAACTGTTTTCGAGAAAAAACTGCTTTTGTTTAATATGATTTTTATTACATCTGTAAAGAGAAATAAATCGATGAAATTGGCATTCTTTCCGTGCCTATTTAAAAAAATGCTACTTTTGTTTACAATTTTTCCTAAAGATAATTAAATTACACAAGTATTTTAAAAGTTATTAAAAAAGTCGATTTTCAGGGGCGTCCTTTAAGGGTCTGTATCTCCGTAGGGAGGCCCTATAGGGAAAATTTTTATAAGTATTTGTCATGTTATTTAATGTTCCCTGTATAAATCCGAGAGATTGCCCACATATTCTGGGATACTCTGTATAGTGGTGCTGTGATTTATATTTTACCCCTATTTTGCTTTGGTTACTGTTACAAAACCAGTTTTAATTTGAATCACTCTTACCAATTCCTCATTCTATTTTCTATAGATTTAATAGATCATATCAAAATTTTCGACTTTTTGGAGCATCATGCACAATTAAAATTTTTAGCTCCATAAATATTGTTTCTAAAACAACTAAGGTTGTGAAGTAAATTGGTTTTTTGATTCATAAGGTGTCTATCACAAATGTAACACAGAAAAAACGTGTCATTAAATATGTATGGAATAATAATAATTATACAGTCTGCTTTTTACCTCAAGTAACCATGTACCCTGCGGGTACTCTCCCCATGTATGTGTGGTCATGAAAGGCCACTTTGAGAAACCATCACGAGAATCGTCATCATTTTGCCTTCTACTAAGTATCATAGACCTAAAATTAAAAAATATATATCAATATCTAATATCTAGTTAACAGTAAGATTATTTGTCAGTAAAACCGCCAGATAGACTAGTTTCAAACTTATTAGTTCTCATTAGTATGCCACAGGTGATATTAGCTGTTTACTGGATATTGTAGGTATAATGCAATGCTGGACAGAACATTGCTCAGAATAATAGTTGCTTCCCACAATACAGCTACAGATTAGCGGGTCGCTCTTTGCTAGTAGATACAAAACAGGGTTTTGTGCCAGCACGCACTGGGTATCAATAACAAGTTATTATATGCTTTGTAGATATCTCACCCACAAAAGCTTTGAAGTCAAAACTGTTCTTAACCATTTAGGTTGGTATTTATGAGGGAAATAATAATCCACATTTGTAAAAGTCGAGCATATTAAATATTTTTAAATTAAAAGGCTTCTGGGGAATTATTTTGTAGGTAGGTACATTTAAAACATTTTTGTTTAAGATAAGAATGTAAAAATAACGGTTGTCAGCCAAAATTTGGAAAGTCTAGAACAAGGGTCGGCAACTGGCGGACCGCGGTCCAGATCCGGACCGCGGAAGGTAAAATACTGGACCGCCAAAAATTTTTTGAAAATATAAATTACTCAAATAAATTATTTAAAAAATATTTTTTTACGTTTGAGTGCCACCCTTATAATTTTTTCTAGTATTTTACAATTGTGACTGATTTGAGTTTTTAATGCAAATGAAAATAAAAAATTAGTAAGAAATATGAATTTTTTTCTGGACCTCGTTAAAAAATTTCAAAAGTATCCGGACCCCACCTAAAATTACTTGCCGACCCCTGGTCTAGAAGAAAAGCATAAGTCTATAATAGATATTTATAGATAGAAAGTTATTTAAAAAATAAAAACAAACGTTTTCACTAAATTAATTTTTTTCTTGTGATCGGTGAAAGTTACAAATAAAACTGTAGGCCATTATATGTACAGGATGTTTCAGGATTATAAGCAAAAATTTTAAATACGAATTGGGAATCGGAAAATAAGAAAAAAAGTTCCTATGGACATATGTCCGGAAACGATTCGTTAAGGAGTTACGGCCGTTAAAAAATGGCGGTCAAAATCGAGTTTAAAATTTTTTTCTCAAATTTGAAAACAAATAAAATCCTGAATTTTGGTGCAGATGTTATACTGATCGAGGCCCATCCAACCAATATTTTCTCGTTAAAATAATCTTATTTGGAACGGGTGAAATCAACAACACCCTGTATATTTTTCATGAAAACATTTGAGTCGTTAGGATTTCAATTGTTGCAATACATCTTTTGGAGAGACAGATTAATTTAGAAACTTTTTCATCTCTTTTATTTCTTAACCATTACGTGTTAACTTTTTTGTTTTGAGAGTTATAAAAAAATGTGACATATAAAAGTTGCACGAGTTTTTATGAATTTTTCGAAAATGATTGTAGAAAAACAAATGAAGTCCAAACAAAATGGCCGCGGATGTTAACTTTGTTAAGTTAAATGGAACACCCTGTATATTTTTACATATTTGGATAGAACGTTCCTTGTCGAGCATAGTCATGTAGGGTTTGTTGGGTCCATCGCTAACAATAAGCGAGATACTATTAAAAAACGAAAAGAAGGTTTTTTATTAAGAAAATAAGACATCTTGTAATTGTTAAACCTTTTTCAGGCATTTCTGCCTTTTTCCAATTACGTAAGGATTTACAGATTTAGTTATAATATATTTTGACAGATCAGACAATGATAGGTATTTTAACTAAATCTCACTAATTAGGCCGTGAGATGCCTAATTACTCATGGACAATGTTATATGGTAGGCCGTGACAGTGACAGGTAATGTCATGACAACATTGTTATTGTTTGACAGTTTGTATTATTATTTAATTAAAATGGGTTACACAGAAGTAGAAAATTGAAATATTATAGGAATTAAAATAGAGCAAAGTTCTTCTCCATACTCTATTTTAATTCTAAATAATTTTCTACTTTTGTGTAACCTATTTTAATTAAATAATAATATATACTATAAATCAATAACAATGTTGTCGAGGCATTACTACCTGTCACTGTCACAACCTACCATATAATGTCCATGAGTAATTAGACCTCTCACGGCCTAGTTAGTGAGATTTCGTTACATTACCTATACGCATTTTGGACCGTATGATATATCAAAATATATTACAACTAAATCTGTAAATCCTTACGTAATTGGAAAAAAAGCAGAAATGCCTGAAAGAGGTCTAACAATTACAAGATGTATTATTTTCTTAATAAAAAACCTTCTTGTATGTAATATGTATAAATATCCGCGGCCATTTTGTTTGGACTTCATTTGTTTTTCTAAAATCATTTTCGAAAAATTTATCATTCATCATTTTTTTAATTTATCATTCATTTAACATCATTTTTTTATAACTCTTAAAACAAAAAAGTTAAAGGGGGTCAAAATATAGTGAATCACCCTGTACATGTGCAGCCGTAGAAAATATTAGAGTATTTGTACAGGACCAAGACCCTTTTGTACTTTTTAAGGTGGACTAGATTAAAAAATGCAGCAAAAATATGGCATCCCATTTAAAATTTCGAAGTAGGCGAAAACTTCTAGTAGAAAATGTAATACCAAAAGCTTGCAAATGTTTTAATTATACAGGGTGTACCAAAATGAATATCGGGGTTTTAAAGCTTTGTAGAAGTTATTGCGGTTAACTTACACTTACAAAGTATACATCAAATGAACGAGCAACTCAAATAGTTTGTCCTACAAGTATTCGTGCGCGTGCACATGCTCTGGTCTGGGGGTCAGCAAGTCCCCATAAGATGGTACAGTTGCAACGAGACTCCCCTAAATTAAATGTTGCTGAAGCTGAAGCAACTGTAAACTGATGTTTCTTATCTTGATGTGCTACAACAATGACTCTTTCCTCGATTATACACGAAACTGAACCAGAGAACTTTATATAGCAAGATGGCGCGCTGCCTCATTGGCATGCCTTCGTACGCGATTGGTTAAACAACGTTGTTCCCGACAGGTGGATTGGTCGCGAGGGGCCGGATCACAGAGCTTGTTTCGCATGGCCTCTACGTTCACCAGATCTGACACCATGCGATTTTTACCTTTGGGGGTTTGTAAAGGATCGGCTGTATGTGCCTCAACTACCAGCTGACCTATACGACCTACGACATAGGATTAAAGCTGCAGTTGCATCAATTACTCCAGACACACTGAGCAAGGTTTGGGACGAACACGGCTATCGACTCGATGTGTGCCGTGTGACGGAGGGTGCTCACATTGTACACTTGTAGGACAAACTGTTTGAGTTGCTCGTTCATTTGTTGTATAATTTGTAATGGTAAGGTCACTGTAATAAATTCTACAAATCTTTTAAAACCTAGATATTCATTTTGGTACGCCCTGTATTACCCCACTGATCTTATTTACAATTAGGTATTTACTATTTATAGGTAGGTACTGCAGGTAGGTACACGATGGTTTAACTGCTACTATTACTACTACTACTACTACATACTACTAAAATACATACTACTATTTTCATGGGCGTAGTCCCGAATTTTCCTAAGGGGGGGAGGGGGTTGGCAAGATGAGCCAGTTTATTGAACAAAGGGTATAGTATGTGAAGTCATGGTGTCGGAAATATCAAAATAACGAGCGTTCAAATAAAAACGTGGTCAAGTTGGTTCTGAAAATTTGGACGTAGGGCGTAGCGTATAGCAAATGAACTTAAACGTCATCTGTCAAAGCGCTGTATCGCCGCTTTGTTATTGAAACTGACAGCTGCTATACAGCTCGTTGAGAAATGAGGTTAAGTTGGTCGCTATAAGCTACGCTCTACGTCCAATGTGTCAGAGCCAACTTCGACCACGTTTTTATTTGAACGCTCGTTATATGGTTAACCCGAGGAATTTAGTGCAAAAGCCTTCCTACGCAACGGCCAAAAGCAAACAGTGGCCTAAAGTGATTCAATCTTACTGTTTTAGACCAAACGTCTCAATTATGTAAACAAATATATGTACTTGTTTTGGTTTAAATTTTTATATTAATTAAAACTATATAGAACGAATGGCCAGTAGTAACAATGTAATTTTTGAAACATGCAGCATGCAGAAAGAATTAAGGTGGGCTGTGGCCCCCTTGCCCCTTCCTGGCTACGCCCCTGACTATTTTTATTAAGTTAAGTTGCGATTTCTTGTCACTAGTAATTGGTTCGATCCACATTTTTTTAATATAATATATTTTTAACATTAATTAATGAGAGAAAAACAAAAATGAACTGATTATTGGTTCCAATCTTACCTGGTGCCCATTGGAGAAGTTAAAAATAGCTCGACGTCGCCCCTGCGGCTAGCATTCAACGTTAACACCGCTTGTACATGTTCCAAATATCGAACTTCAGTATTTTCTCCCTGGCAGGAGTTGGTCGTGATTTTTAAGGTTAGAGATTTGTTCGAAAGAATTTTTCTGAAAAACGAAAACATTCCTTCAGAAAATTTTACTTTTATTGTCCACTTTCAATCAATTTAAATGATCAATTATCAAATTTGTAAATTCCAATCGTATATTTCAAATCGTAGCAGACTTGGATGATTTGAACAAATAATGGCCTTACCAATAACAAAATTTGTAACTGTGACGATCAAAAATCTAACAAATGTAGGTACATGTCACTGATAATACTGTAACGAAAATAATTATTGTTTGTATAAGAGTTGAAGCATACAAAAGAATATTTTAAACACAGGGTATCCCGATTGGTATTGTGGCTATACTTTTGTTTTATTTTTTGTAGAATACTGAATATTTGCCTTTCAAGGCATTGCACATTTGATGATATTTTTAACGTAATATTCTCGAGAATGTAAAAAAACCGCAAATATCTGGGAAAATCGGCTGTAACCCCTACAATGCCTGTACAATTTGACTCTCTATAATATGCAAAAAAATGTGCAAAAAAATACAGGATGTTACCTCTTTGTAGGGGTTGTGAACAGGAAGACGAGACGGTATTGCATGTACTATGTGAATGCACTATGCCGTCTCGTCAACAAGAGAGTCCATGTTGGGAGAACGCTGGCCTTCAATGGCCTATATTAGAGAGATTCCCCTGAGGAATGTCACCACCTTTTTCACTGTAATAGGTTGGTTAGCGGCTCAGGTGGATTGATTTCCTAATGGGAGGAAGTACAAGGGTCCCAATGAGGCCTAAGTGCTGTAGCTTTGCTACCCTCCCCACAATTCCAGAACTCCAGATACAGGATGTTTCATATGAATTTAAAAAGTTTTGTCGGCATTTAAGTTTTCAAAATGTAAGTAAATTCAGTTGATATAATTTTCTTCAGGTGATTTTGATAGCGGAATGCAGTGCATCTGTTCCTTGTGTATTCCGAAAACCAAGTGAAAGCTTCCAAAACAAAGAAAAATTTTCGAATCGCTTGCATCTGTCAAATTTTTTATAAAATGTCAATTATCTCGAAAACGGTTAACTTTAACATTTTTACTTATTTTTAATTTATCTCGTCGATAATGCAATAATATATAGGGTGTTCCATTTAAAACAACGAAGTTGAGAGTTACTTCAGTATAACAGGAAGTGCTATAACAATGGCCTTATTTATTAAAGAGAGCACCCCCTGAAATATTCTAATGGGCCGTCACTTTAAGACAGTCTGTATTAGTACCAGGTAATTTTTTGGTAAAATTTTAGTATACACCCTGAATGCAAAAAGATACGTACTGTACTTCAGAGACGGTCCCCGCTTCACAGTGATACCTCGGCGGTACCGTTTTCCACAGCTTGGCCAACGCCACCATGGCCCCTGCGTCTAGGACTCCAAATCCGAACAAATGGTTGAACTCCAGCCCCACGCCGTTCATCGTCCAATGAAAACGTCCCTTGGCGTCGAACAGCGAATTTCTCTTTGACGTCAACACGGTGAGATGCTGAACATCTCTCCAGGATAATTTATTACTGAAAAGTATATTAATTAGAAAGGTTCTTAATTTTACGTCAACTGCGGGTTCAGGGGGGGGGGGTTAAGGTAGGTATACATTAAAGTAAGTAATTTAAATTTTTGTAGCTATACCTTTAAGATACTAGCGTAGAAATTTATTGATGAAACACCGAGTTATTACAAAGCAGCTAATTCATAAAATTTTGGGGCTGTCGATTTGCAGTAAGTGTACCTACAATATTTCCCACAAAAAAAACGGGGCCTGTACCCGCGATGCAGGGCAAAAATCTTCAGGAGAACGTGCCTTCGTTAAAAATAAGCAAAAAATTTGTCCGGAAACGTGTCGTTTTCAAGATATGGACCTTCGTATTTTTTGAAGACAATAAATTTGTTTTCAATATTTCAGGAACACTTAATGATAATTTCACAAAATTTTATAGGGTGTAGGTATAGGGTATAGGATATAGGGGTATAGGGTATATATTTTATAGGGTATAGGTATAGGGTATAGGTATAGAGTATAGATATAGGGTATAGGTATAGGGTATAGGTATAGGGTATAGGGGTACATTTAGTACTTTATAAAACCACTCTAGTAATTCTTCATTTCGGTTCCGTAGATACGTGCAAACTTTATTAAAGCGACACATTTATGACTGGACTAAACTGCGCAATAATTATTGAATTGTTTATTTTTTACAAAAGAAGCCACAGCGTCTATAAAAACAAAAACTAAATCTGAACGAGGTTGATATACAAAATAATAAATAACCGTAAAAAATATGTAAATTTGGGCTAACACAATGGTTTTCCTGTTTGTTAACCCATGGTCTATGTTCCCGACCGCCATCAGATACAGACTTATGTTCCACTTCTTAGCCTTAGCTAGACATTTTTAACCTGTCATTTGTTCTCGGGCTTGCCTTTGTGGTGGAGGATCCGTTATCACAACCTCTAGATTTTAATGTTCATTTCGGTTTTTGTTGTTGTTCCGCGATGACTACTATTGACCACTCAAGACCGTCTATTACCCTCGGTGACCACTGTTGATCTTCAAATGACAGCCTTTTACCTTTGGTGACCACTAATGACCAACAGTGACCAACTGTTGCCTTTAGTGGCCTCTAATAACATACCGTGGTCGTATTTGACCTTGATATGACCGGAGAATAAGGAATTTGAGGTCAGGGCGGAGGTCAAATCCAAGGTCATCGGTTTAGTTCTCATCAAGAATCCTAGAACTATTGTGGGGAACATTTTTCCTGGCAGGTTATTCTGCCATTCCGGTACTGTTGGACCACTTTAGGACTTTTTGATATTTGACCTTGATCTTGACTTTCATGGTTATTTCAAGGTCATATTCAAATGTAAAATTTTCCGCTGTTCATTTCCGGGGTCCCATTAAAAAAAATTCTCGTGACATTGAAGGTCCTGGTCCAGGTCAAATTCAAGGTCACCATCGGATTGCCAGGGAAAATCCTAAACCCCAAGTGCTTTACTTTTACCTTACTCCTTGAATATTCTCAGATAGCCTGCCATTCCAGTAGTTTTGGTCCAACCTGTTTATTTGTGTTACAATAATGGGTTTTCTCTATGTTTGTCAACTGAAAAAACAACAGTGATTGTGCATTTTTTGTGATCAAAATCGTTGGAGTTGGTTATCGGGTTATGGAGTTTATGGTGTACTGCGGATTTGAGTGCAATAAGATCATGAATTCTAATGTTTTTCCAAACACTGACTACTCAAATCGGTTTGGAATTTCCAAAACCGTTTTCTTGAAGGAGGACCAAAATACTATAAGTTACATTAGTCTGACCCAATTGTTTTTTTTGCTTTCTTTCCGAAGCTGTAGGTAGGTACATACATTATATTCAAAGGGCATACTCTTTACTGTTAAATACACGGATAACATCTGTCAAGTGAAATATTCAATTTTTTAATATTTTTTTGTTTGAAAAAAAAAAATTCCATTGAAATTAAATTCATTGATAAATGATGGATGCTAGCAAATTTCGTCTAGTATTTTAATTATAAAAATCATAATTATAACATTCTCATTTTCATCTGTAGAAGTGAAAATATTTTCATCTATATTTTTTTGTAACGCAAATGATATTTTTCAGTATGTAGTGGTCTCCTAGATATAAACTAGATAAACGTATGTACGAGTACTTCCACCAATTAATATGATCTAATTGGTAATCCATGACCTGCTACGGTTTCTTATGCAGCGGCTACACGTCAGCGACTTGTCTGCACGGTATGGTTTGCGCAATAAACACGGAACACTGTGTTGTGGCCACACGATGCAGGTAAGACCGTACAGGCTGCAGGCACTGCAGGCTGCAGTCAGTACGTTTCTCGGAATATGTGTCCAAGCGAAGAATTTTTGGTAATAGCCTCTTTCTATTTTACATTAGTAAAAAAAAGAAATAGACGTCATCGTTCAAAATGGTCAAAAATGGCTTCTGAACAGAAATATACATTCACATATAAATTTAATGAAGGATTTGAGAGAAGATCCCGACAATTGGCGTAATTATATGAGAATGGATGAAACGGCGTATACTGAATTACTAGGAGTGGTGACTCCCTTCATAAAACGACAAAATACTGTAATGCGCGAATCTATGTACAATGTACATAATATATATCATAAAGATTGAGTTGGTACTCTCAGATATTTGGCTACAGGGAGATCATATAGAGATTTAAGGTTTTCTGCCGCAATTTCTCTTAACTGAACACCGTGCACCGTCCACACGCTTATATTTTACAGTGCAAACCGAATTTGCACAAACAAAATCTTCAGTAAGCCGAAGTTTACGCAAGCCGCGCTTTTCAGTTTGTGCGAGATAACGTTTTGCCGGCCACACGTACCTACGGGCTTCCCGATACAAACTGATTTGTACAGGCAAGCGCGCGGTAAAGCCTGTATGTGTAGCCGGCCCATTAAAGCGATTTTCAGAAAATTTTTATAGACATTTTTTTTTATAAAAAATCTGGATGTGTTAATGAACATCTATTAACGTTCCACTATATCAACTTCTTTCAGTTTATAATGTAAAATAAGTGTTAAATTTATTACGTTTCATTTATTATGTTTCTTTTCAATATAAAATCTGCGAGTTATTGGAAATACCTAGACATGCTATCAATCAGTTTAGAATTTCTAAAAAAAATACAGATAAAGTTATACTTTCTGGCATTGTGGCAAATTATAAGATGAAAAAATTAATTCCCAAATACCATAATAATAGTACGATAAAGTTAATCCTTATCTTCTCTGTAAAATATTTTCATCGATATTGGAATTCAGGTATACTTTTTACTGATACTTATAAAGTATCCACACGGAAAGGTTTCAAAGAGAACCGATTCGAAAGGGTGTCGATAAACTCAAACTTGATTCCCTGATGGCAGTGGAATTTATTGACAAAATAAAATATTACTAGTCTGTCCCTTTCGACATGTCCTACATACCAAATTTTTCAGTAACTGAAATTTACCTGTCTTTAAGGGCCAATATTTGAGGCCGTCGATCAAACAAAAATTAAATTGTTAAATGTTCGCATACATTAAAAAAGTAGGTTCAATAAACGTTTACCCGAATAATTTAAAAATTTTCTACCGACAATGTTTCGTCGATGTTCTTTGTCCCGTAATCTAACAGATATCTGATGATATTTCAAAATATGTAAGACTTTAATGCCTTCGGGAAGCTATGAAAATTTTATACGAAATTCAGCAGTAACATTTTCAACATATTTTTTCAACTCAATGGTCTTGTATCCCATAGTATTTATAGGATAATGATTAACGAGTGTATTCAGATATTTTTGTACAAAATATAAAGTGTCTCACTTTCAAGACATTTTTGAATCTAAAACCTGTATGACACAATAATTTTCACTTATAAAAAAATAATAACACTTTATTAGCTATTTTTGTAATAGAAGCATGCGCAGTTGAGTTAACAAAACGTATAAAATCATATAACAATAGAGGTTAGGGTTTTGTTAACATTTTAATTGCTAAAAGAAGGTTTTTTAATAACAACATAAAAGTGTTTTCACTGAAAACTTTTTGGAGCTTGCATCTCTTTCATATGTTCAATATTAACACACAATTGGCAATGCGCAAACAAGATTACATATTGTATAAGAATCTTATGTTCCATCAAAATTGCCCATTATCTGCTACATGTTGGATTATACGTCATAGTTATTTAGGATCAGTTTTGCATTTAAAATTGAATTGCTTTTGAATCGTGTCGGACTTAATATAAAACTTTGATTCTTTTGAAATAGTTATAATTAAATTTGAATATACATTATTTTGAGAACCTATTTCAATTCCATCCAAAAAAAATATTTTTTGTTGAATACCAGACATATTTTTCTAATTTTCTATAAATATACTGTATTTAGATTCCACAGAGGCGTCTCTATTTTGCAAGAAAAAAAGCTGTTAAGTTGCACTTATAATAAATTAGTTTTAACCCAAAGCTATACTTTATTATGTACTTTTAATGTACTATACTAATACTACCTATAGACAGTCAATTATTCTTTTAAATGAAACGCAATAAAGAATTAATGCTTTACAACATCGAAATTTTATATTGAATATTATTATACTGGTATCAGTTAGACGACAAAGTAATATGTACTAAAATTATTTTTTTGTGTCCATTTTCTCAAAATGAAAATAGACAGATAGATGTACTAAGTACCTAAATATTTCATTCTGGAACTGTTAGATCTGAGTAGGATTATAAAACAAAAAGATATATTATAAATTGAAAAAATAAAACTTGTTTATTTGGTATGGCTGGATTCGGTTTTCTATAAGCTTTTCAACGAGCTCCTCATGCCTTATGTTTTCATTTGAAAAAAAAAGTAGGGGTAGCTGGGGGTTAGGGGGTTGAAGAAAAAGTAATTATTATATTACCGAAAGATGGGAAAAAATCAAAATCAGTTGACGTGTTTTGGCGTTTTAAAAAAAATTAACTCATTCAAAAGATATGAATTTTATTCCATACTTCTGGCCATCCTTGTATAATTTTTAAGAACTTATTTATTATCTATCTACATGAACCAATCAATTGATTAATTTCTTGAACTTTTTGCTGGATAAATGTAAAACTTGTTTGGCACATCTGTTCAAACTAAAATTATATTTAATGTGGTGTGGGTAATACATAATAATAAACAAATTACTTACTTCGCTTCCAACGCCAGCGCGAAAACACCTGCTGCCTCTGGAGCGGCTGCAGACGTTCCCGAGTGTGTCGTTGTGCATTTACCATATAGATCGGTGGTGGCCTAGAATAAATTAGAAAACACTTAATTCGACGAACAGTTTATCATACCGGTAGAGGTATCTAATGATTTATTGTCTGACATTGGGGATTTATTATCAAAAAAATATTTGTTTTCTGTGCTAGAAGAAATGTATCTGAATTTTCCATATATTGTCACTACTATTTATTATATACCTAACTTAGTATATTAACAATACTATTTTACGAAATAGACCTTCAGTATTTTACTTTTTGGGTGCACGATTCTACTGGTTCTTTTATAATAGTATAGCCTTCTTATTGAATTCCGATGATCTTGTTGGTAATTCCAGGAAAAAGGAATCCCTAAAATGATTTTTCTGAAAATGGCTTCTAAATAAAATCAAACGAAGTCATGAAAATGAACATACTTACTAAAGATCATCGCAATTGGCTCAGTAAGTTCAACTAGAACGCTACTATTTATAAGAAAAATTCATTCAAATCGTAGGTCAAAAAAAAATAATATAAACAAATAAAGAAGGGTAAGTGGCATGGTTCATCAAGGGTCAAAGTGTCTACAGGATGATATGTGGTTGTATGTTGCAAGGTAGGTATTCTACGGTAAATAAGTATGGAAAGTTACGAAAACATTCTTAATAAATTATTGGTCAGTTGGGTCTATTTATGGAGATATTTTCCTGAAAAGCTGTAAAATAAAATTTTAAATTTACCTACTTTATTGGTATTGATGAAAAATAAAATAGGGTAAGTCCGATAGTGTTGGCCATAGGGGGAGAGAAAGCCACGGTATTGTTGTTATAATAATAGTTTTTTAAATATTTACAAAAAAAGGTTTTCGAGGTAAGTAAAGTATATTTAGTGATTATGTATACTAGCCAATGATTCAATTTTTTTTTTACAAATTTGAGGTAATTACTGGATATAAACATGATGAATATACACCATCGTGCATCTTAACCTCAAAAGTTTAGAAAAAGTCGCACATTTTTCTCTCAGTCACAACGGGATAAGATGGTCATCTGGGCAATGAGGAGAAGAAAATGGATTTTTCCAGTAGCGAAAGTGAAGAAGACGTGACTACTGTATTCGATAATCCCCTGGAGGACTTCAATGAAAACGAATGCATCGGCTGTGGGGAGGAATATAATAATACTTACTACAAAAAAAGATGACTGGATCTGCTGTGTAAGATGTAAATTTTTGGTTACATGAATCATGTACGTCATTTATTGATTTATGCCAAAAATGTGGAAAATTTTTTTGAAAGAGAAGAATTTATCTGATATTTAAAATATTAATAATATTTTTGTTAACTTCTTTTACAAGAATTTGTATTATTTTATGGTATTTTAATTTTATTTATATGTTTTGATAATAAAAATCTTATTTAAATAAGTTTTTGTAATATGGCTAAATTACCCGAAGTCTTATGGCTATCTCTCCCTTACATTGGGGGGAATATGGCCAATCGCAGTAGTTTTTATTTTTTTCAAATTACGTATATACCATTCAAGCAAACAAATTCTCCACCCCGCTACTGATGTATAAGTAATTACCCAATGATTATACGTACTTGCTTTTTTATTTAGTGCAATATAAATCATACTATCTAAAAAAATATTTTGGGTTGGCCATCATCCCCCGACTTACCCTAATCAGTGGGCGCAGATGTGAGGATATCAGTGTCATTGTCATAATTAAAAAATAAGGTTAGGTTAAAAAACATTTCCCTCACTTTGATCCATAACCTGAGCTTTAGAACAGGAACTTGAACTAGGTATTTTAAACAATTTGTCATGATAAGATAGGGAATAACGTTTTTTTCATTTTATAAATTCTTATGAATGTTGATAATAAATCCGTTAATGCCCAAACCTGAAACTTGCCATGGCACCATTACTATTTAATGGTCGGCCATTTAGTGAAATAGCCAAAGGGAAGTCAGACATCATTTTACTGTCAATTGAATTTCGGCCAATATGTGTAATTATAGACGAAAACGAAGCATATTAATTGAAGTTATGATCAAAAGTGTCTTGTTCTTCCTTAAATTATAGTTTTATATTACAGTGCATGTATTTAGCCACGCACACACTTTGAACTATTATTATTTTCCTTGGGAGATGTACCTTACAGTGTCAATTTGGATGCCGCAAGTTGATTTCGATTCTTTATTCTTCTATTCAATATATTTTCTTGTATGAATTATGTTCGGATGTTAATCAAATTGCAAAATTATTACCCAATACTTGCGTGATTTCCAGACATTATTGACAGCAAAAGCTGGTATAAATTTTTTTATAAAAAGATAACTGAATTTTTTAATATTTCGATTCATTTTGCTATTTTAATGAACTCCATCTTAAAAAAATATATTAATTCGGCGATAACTAAAAAATACGTGTGTTTAGAATCTCAAATGACAGATTTGGCACATTTACAAAGACATTTGTAAAAACAAAAATTGTCTGAAATATATGCATTAGATTCTTTTTGAAATATTTTCTGGAATCAACTTTACGATTTTTGAAATTTAAGTATTTTTTGAAACAGAATTGACTAATCTGAAATAAGTAAATAAATTTTTTTTATTTATACTGTTAATAAACTCATTGTGAAATAAAATATAATTTTTTAATTTTCTCTCCAAAACAGTGGTAACGTGACACATCAAAGTTAATTACAAAACTAAAAATACTAAAATGTTTTCCATTTTTTAGCCTTATTTAGTAGAGAAGAGTGAATTTAAAAATAAACATAAAATCAATTTAATTTCATCTAATTTACTGAAAGAACAGATTAGTAGCCCTCCAACAAAACTTTGTTTTATTTGCCTGATGTCCCCGAGCAAATCCAATTAAGCTTCTTTTTCATAAACTTCTAATTTGCACTTTTTCAAATAAAATATAATTGGGTAAATCCTAAATAAATTTCCAGCACTAATTTGGTACAAGAAAATTTGTAAACAAGTTTTTATTGAAAGAAACCAGCCAGAAAGGAAACTTAATACCATTTAGACAACATGCAAGTTATTGTGGGTAATATATCCTTGACTATGAAAAACATGATATAATTTATAAAATGTACAAAATGTAGAAATCTTGAAATATTCTAGCTCCAAGTTCGGACAGGTTTTATTTAAAAAAAAATGCTTTCTTAATCGTCTAGCTATATATTTACAGGTGGGCAAATTTTTATTAAAATAAAACATTTTGGCAAATATATCTGCATTTTTCTCATCTTAAAAATTCATTTTCATTTATTTTATGTCGTCAGTGAATGGAAAAATAGATACGTAACACTAATACTACAGTGTAGTGAAAAAATGTCTAAGGTATAGGAAAGTATTTGTTGCATTTGTACCTAAAACCTGTTGAATCTCTAAATCCAGCGCATCTCCTGCAATTGGCCAAAAACCACTCTTTTTTTTTATTTAAGACCCCATTTTCGAAGATGCTGATCACGAATATGATGATCATTACCCTCTTCAACCCTTGACTAGGCCAAAACTACTCCCAATCTTTAATAAAAGAAGATTGATTTTGACCCGTTCGAGGGGGTTGCGCAGGTTGTTCGTAATCAGCACCCTTGAAAACGGGAGGAGAGGAGCATAGAGGTTGGGGAGGAGGGGGGATAATATACAGTTCAACGCTGGGTCGCGAAATCAAAAAGGGGTGGTTTTTGGTCAGTTATTCACCATCGAAAACAAGATTTTGTAACTTCAACAAATACTTTCCGAAATAAGCCATATTTGCACTGTAACAAAATCGGTTGAGTGAAAGTATGTAATAAATTTACGGACTGAATCTATCGAGTGAAATGATTGAGTACATTTTCACTCAATATTGAGCATTTTGATAATTTTACTCATTTGTGATAACATTTGAACAAAATAGTTTCTAAATTCAATGGCTCTCTAGCTAACTAATAATTTTTAAGAAATTCAAATTTGCGACCAAATTTTTTTGGTTTCAAAGACAAGGGGGCTCACGAAAAAATGTCTTAAGAGAGTTCCCCGCCAAAAAGCGTAGTACTGTCAGATTCCACATGTCATAAAACCCCTGTGTACCAAATTTAGTGATTCTCGTACAACAGAGTTCTAAGATAAATCTCAAAAAAGACAGGGGCAGATTTCAGGGGGCAGTAATTCCGAGACGGGCCGCTTGGCAAAAAGAAAAAATACGGGTTCCCTAAATTTGTCTTAAGAATCTAGAACAAATTTTGTTGCATTAATTTCTGAACGCCCTGTATATGTATTTTGTAGTATCGATTACTATTTGGTTAAATAAACGGATAATTAGATTGTTAGCTATACTTACAATGTACAACATTATGGCAATTTAGTCGTCCGATCAGTTAACCAATTCTTTTAATCGAGACCTAAAATATTGTTTCTAAAACAGTTAATACTAATAGAGCGACTATTTCACTCAATTGGGTGTGGACAGAAATTGTTACATTATTGTGTAAAATTGAGTGAAGTTTTTTTTTTACTGTGTGCATTTGGAAAGTCAACGCCACTAGATATATTGGAAATTAGATCACTACTGTTAATTCATGGTGCACTTCAATTAATTTAAAATACTCTAGATCAACTGGTTTCACAAAAAAAATGTGGATTGAGGAATGGGATTTTAATTGCAACGTAATGATGAAGACTTCAGAAATATATAATTTGTTTCGGAAACACCACGGAGTTAAAAATAAGTACCGAATTTTCAATATGGTGATAGTGGCGCATTTATAGTGAAATTAATCATTAGCGAAAGTTTCGTTAATGTAAGTTAACACTTTCAGAGATATTTTATGGAATAAAGTGTAACTTTTTCCAAATTTCAACTCTCCTTATCTCGAAAACATACGAAAATAGCGTTTTCACAGAACATTTTTTTCTTATTTGAATTTAAATTTTAAGTTTCCTGTTAATCCTAAATCACCCTGAATAATGACAGTTTTTTAATATTCAATTTAATATTGAAATAAATCTTTTCTTCGAACTAGTGCGGAATAGTAATTTTT